TAAACCTGATTTATGGAGATAGCATATCGTATTTAAAAATTTTGGAGTTGGACAGAAATGGATTTTAATTCCAGCTTGGCCACTGAGTAGGTCATCTCACTGATACACCATTTTTTGAAATCTGCAAAATAACAATAATACCATATTTCATAGACTCTAGAGTCTATGACAGGATCATCCCCATTACAGAGGATTTCAAAATATAAACATTTAAAGTCAGAATATGAAAAAAACAGCCAAGTGGGATGGTTAAATGCATCCTGATTTGAGGTGTAAAGATGGTAAAGATTGAGTCTCCTAGAATACAGGACGTATGGCGATGCCCCTTGTAGGTAATGGCTCTTCCTCTGTGAGGATTACCTCACATGCATATGTCGAGTTCTTGCCACAGCTGAGTCAGTGCTCAGTGGATGGTGGAGGCCGTTGTTGATGTGGTTGTTATTGGGAGCTGGCGACAAAGAGTAACACGAGAATATACTTGATTCAGGTCTTCATAATCTAGCAAAATGCCCTGGCAGCCCTGGCTGCTCTGGCTGCTCTTTCCCCTGCTCCAGGAGATGCTAGAAGCTAATGTCCACAAGGAGGTCCAGAAGTAAACTTCAGAGGAAGGTTAAAGTACAGAAAATACACAAAACTGAAAAACAGTCCTATTTATTCTGAGAATGGAGACCCGGGTCTGATTTGCCCAAATCCCAAATGCACGGGAGAAACATTTGAAAAACAGTATTGTTCAGATGGCGGGTTGGGACCCTTCTCTGAATTTGGAGCAGGAGAAAGAAAACATTCAGAATGCCCTGTTAGCTTTCCCGGTGTTGGGCGTTTTCCTTCACCGCTCACTAGCAGTTTCTTCTGTGACATTTCCTGTGATTTTGGAACTGAGCGTTGATTGGCTCACCAGTGAAAACCCTTCTGTGCAGCATCCTGTGACGTCAGTTTTCATTTAGGCCTGGACGGGTCTATGGAGGCTGAAGGCGTGCCAAGAGGTGTCAGTCAAACCCTTTCACCTGCCTCCAAAGCAGCTGGTTCCTGGACTGCTCCAGGAGTGGGCCTTATGCCAGGGAACAGCCATCCATTGTCCTTTGTTGCCAAAGACAATGCTGCCAGCGGTAGATCTCCGCCGCAGAAACGCCGATGCCAGAATTCCAGTGAGCGAAAATGGCCTGATTTGTGCCCCCCCACCCCAAAGCAGCCCATTTCTTTTCCCACAGTTTGGGCTCAATAGCATTTTCAAGAAATTTTGTTTTTTCTCACCTGAGGATATTTTCCCATTGATTTTAGAGTAGAAGAGAGGGAGAGAGAAACATAGATGTGAGAAAGATACATCAATTTGTTGCTTCTCGAATGCACCCTGACTGGGGTCAGGGATCAAACCTGCCACCTAGGTACATGTCCTTGACTGGGAAACGAACCCTTGACCCTTCTGTGCACTGGCTGACACTCTAACCACTGAGCCACACCCGCCAGGGCTTTTAAATGTTTTTATTGATTTTAGAGAGGAAGGGAGAGAGAGAGAAAAAAACCCCATAAATATGATAGAGATACATGGATGGGCTGCCTCCTGCACACCCCCCCCTAGGGATCAAGCCCACAACCCAGGCATGTGCCCTGACCGGGGAATCGAACCAGTGACCTTTTGGTGCATTGGACAACTCTCAACCAACTGAGCCACATGGGCCATGGATCAACAGCATTTTAAGAGATATGGTAAATGGACTCGGGGTGTATATGAACATGTTCCAAACACAGCCCATATGATGAAAAGCTCCTGTGTATGGAACAGGTGACCACAATGCAAATGACTCTCCCATAGAAACAAATATCCTATTATTTTTTTATTCTTCCATTTCTGATCTAAACTTGCTTCAATATCAAGATTGATCTATGCCAGGCCAGGCGTGGCTCAGTGATTGAGCATCGACCTAGGATCCAGGAGAATCACGGTTCGATTCCTGGTTGGGGCACATGCCCGGGTTTCGGGCTCGATTCTCAGTGGGGGGCGTGCAGGAGGCAGCCGATCGATGACTCTCATCATTGATGATTCTCTCTCTCTCTCCCTCTTCCTTCCTCTTTCTGAAATCAGTAAAGATATATATATATATGTGTGTATATATATATATATATATCTTTTTTTAAAGATTGATCTAAATAATGGATAAAGGAGGACCAAAAAAGGAGTTTGTGGCAAGAGTTTTGGGATGGCTTGTTATGAGAAAAGCAAATAAAATGGAGGTTTTAGATTTGCTGATTGCGCCATGTGAAAATAGATATGTGGTCACTGCTGATGACAGCCTTCAGGGATTTTGGAGAATGAAACTCAAGTGGCAGCTCCAGATCACAATGTCAGAAAAAAGCCAAACTGCTCGAGAGGACAGTGGCAACCTCACGTTAAACACGTGGGCTGGCTGATCCGTGTTCACACACACAGCGTTCATTCCTCTCCGCAGGCCAATTACACGCGCACGCCGGAGGCGGGATGCGAAGCTGAGTCACTGTCCCAGGCGTGTAAGGGTGCGTCCCTGCCAGGCTCCCGCCTCCTGACCCTTGGAGTCACTAAAGGACTCACTGGGGACTGAACATTTCATTTGATTTAATTTCTCCTTAGGAAGAAATGAAAGATTGATGACTCAGTCATGTCATAAATCTCCTGCAACCAGTTTTCCTCAAGGTACCTTGGACATTTTAAATAGGTGTGTAACTTCCACCTTACACCTCCTTACTCTGAGATGCGGTGACGGCGGGCTCTGTGCAAGCACCGTGAGGGGCTTGCTCAGGACTGGGGTTGAGTCTCAGGGATCCGCTCGCCTGGGCCTCCTTGGGGCATGAGCACATTGGAAAGATGAATGGTTAGAGGACGGTGTTTGTCTGTTATTTGCATAAAAGGAAGTAATAGTGACGATGGCTTATTAGCACCACTGAACTAGCTACTTTCTCTTAGCAGTGAAGGCTTGAATCTCGACATTGTCAGTCTCTGGGAAAAGCAAAGGCCCACCTGCCCAGGCTTCTGCCAGCATGTCTGCAGTTACAGGCATCCTCTGCCAAGGTCGATTACAGCCTCCCCTCCGCCCCAACCTGTGCAGCTGCAGGGCAGCCTCGACTTGCCCAATCTCAAGAATGTGGCGAACTGGATCCATCAACATACGCTATTGCACCAAAATGATGGAGAATCTAGAATTGTGACGACAACCCCAGGTACGCCGAGTGAAAAGCTAAGTGTGTCAGCACAGGCCACTGGTGCCTTCCATCAGTAATGCATTTCACTGGTGTTGGAACCATTCTATTTTGGTGCAGAGAGAGATTTTTCAAGAGCAAAACCTTATACTGCTTTTCGTGGAGAAGCAATTCATAAAAGGTCTTTCCCTCTTATCTCCCTAGGAATGAAGACAGACCACTGGGTCCTTCGAGTCAGATAATGCTGACAGGTCAGCTGATCCACTGAAGTCTGCTCTCCCCCACCCCCTACTCCACAGGTAGGTCAGCAGGGCCCTGCCCCGGGGACTGGGCTGCTCCTCAGCAGGGCGTCTGCTTTCCTGCCCCAATCAGCTTCCTTATTGCTTTGGGTCACCGGTCCCTTTGAGAATCAGATAAACTATGAATATTATCTCCAGAAAAATGAACACACTCCTATCCTCCAATTTTTTTCATGCAGTTTCAGGGGCTTGGGGGCCAGGCCAAGGAAGGAGTTTTACGAGAAACCAATTATATTAAAAGTTATCAAAAATTTAAACCTTTTGTCGATAGAGAGATATCTATGTGCTTTTATATAAATGCATTAAATAATCAGATCGAATGCTGAGTCTAATAAAGTACTGATGAGTATAAAGGATATTTTACAATATCTACCAACTGTGCTGTGAAATGGAAATGTCTGCGATGCCCATTGGACAGGTGCTGCCAGTTCTGCTGTGGTCTGCTGCCCACATTCATCTCCGAGGTAGTGCTAGCCTGCAGCTAGAGGTCAGGAAACGTGAAGGCTCATTTCCCTGCCCAAGATCCTGGACTTTAGGTGGAGAATCTCTAAGACTCTAGAGATCTTGGCCTGGCCCAGGGCCTGGCTGCCTTAGCCCTTCCCGTTCAGGCCAATGAAGAGAACATAGGCTCCTGTTTCCTGAACCAAAACCACCTGAGGCTACCATGATGTTTAATATTCTGTAGAAAAAGCCAAAAGGGCCATTCAGAGTGGCGTTTGTCCCATCCTCATTTTTGAAGGGAGGAAGGTGGGGACAAGAGGGACTCAGGGAGTCGGCTGTGAGCAGGTTGGTGACTTCTGCCTTCCCTACCACGGGGATCCCCTCTGTGAAGCTGCCCGGCCTGGGAGATGGGTCTCCATGTGCCTTCTAGCTTGGAACGAAAGACACACTCTCCTCTTGCTTTCACAAAGACCTGTGGCCTGCTTTTGTTGAATCTGCTTCTGGCTTTCACCTCACCTTTCCTGGGATGCTCATGGAAGTGGGGAGCCCTGCTCAGCAGCCTGCATCCTGGGAAGGATCATATTGGTTTTTCATCTCCCCACCGGCTTAACGGATGGCGCTGAAAAATGAGCACTTGTGCCAAAAATGCTGAGTGTAAGCTTTGGGGATGTAAAAGCATTTCACGGCACCTGAAAATAGAAATTGTCACTGTAATCCTGTGCTGATGACCAGCTGAGCTGTTGCTGAAAGACTCTCCTCTTTTCCTCTAAGACTCTAGAGAGTCTGGGCCTGGCCCAGGGCCTTCCCATTCAGGCCAATGAGGAGAAGACAGGCTCCTGGGAAAAGTTACCCTTTCTCACTGGGATGCTAGAGCTCAGGCCTGTGTGGGGATGAAACGTTCCAGACAAAAGAAATTGCTTCTCCTGATGGATGAGGGGAGGACGACTGACTGCCAAGGAAAGGCACCCCCAAAGCGCTCCCTTGGCAGGGCCTCCTGGATCCAGCTCCAGGGCTTTTTGGAGGCACATCATGACCTGATTTTCACCAGGGAAGTGGCCCTTGAGGGAAGCTCACAGAAGACCATCTCCTTACCAATTTTACTTCTTGCTTCATTTATATTTTCTCCCAGGGCCTTTGCTTCAGAAAATCTGGAGGAAAAGAAAAAAAAGAGTTTAATTTTTTCTCTTCATCCTAAATTATGTTTTAAAAATAATAGATTTCTGAGAGGTCTTTAAAATATGATAAAACTTTATTAAAAGACATAAAAGAAAAATCTAAGTAAATGAAATACACTAGGCTGAAATGGAGAAAAATTTTGTATTAATCCCTGGTATCGTGAATTTTACGCCCCGACTCAGCATAGGGTTTTCATTCTCATGTTCACTAATTTAGGACTTTCAGTTTCTAGTGTTTATGATGCAAGGGAGCCAGAATAAAGAGTGACTATAAGCTCTCTGTACTGGGCGTGCTCTGTAGTATCAGGATCTTAGAGTTACAGGCAAGGAATACATGCTTAATGTAACTTAAGCAGCTTTTTTCTCTGATTATAGTCGCATAGCAGAGGTCAGCAAACTATGGGTGGTCATGAGACAAAGGCAGCCCACACCTGTCCCTGTAAATGACACCCGGCCACGCCCATGTTTAGGTGGTTCTGTGGCTGCTGTCCTGCTGCTAAGGCAGAGCTGAGTAGGCTGGACAGAGACCGTGAGGCCTGCAGAGCTGAACGTATTTACTATCTGACCCTTTACGGAAGAAGTTTGCAAACTCCTGGTATAGGTGGTGGTAAGCCGCATTTTGAAAATATAAAAAAAAAACAAGGAAAAGAATCTCGAATAACCCCCCATCCAGAAATAAGCACATTTTGAGATCTTTCCAGTCTTTTTCTAGCCAGTTTTTCATGGAGTTAAGATCATGCCGTATGTATGGTTTTGTGCTTCGATTTTTTTTCACTAAGCATTACAACATGTCTTTCCCCATCTCTTTAGAAACCTCTCCATCGTCTTTGATGGCTGTCTACTAGTCCACCAGATGGTTGTGCTGATGTGCACTTAGCGATTCCTCCGTATCTCCTAACGAATATTTATGAGCCACCTGTGGAGCTAGAGGAGTGGTGTAGGATAAAGCCTATATGAGAAACAGGCAGTCCGGGACCTCGTGAAATATTAGTTGCTTTCCCGTCTTCCTTCTGCCATGAAATTTAAGAGGCAACTGAAAGTCTATGAAACAAATACATAATATATGGCTACAGTAAATCATGGTGCTACTGTGGGCAACACTGGCCATGTCATTAGAGGACCAGGGAGGGCCCTGTTCACAAGTCAGGAAAGCTCATGTACAAGGTAGGACTCACCTGGGTTTTATGGGTGCATAGGATTTTTAAGGAAACTTTTATTATGGAAATTTCCAGATATACACAAAATAGAATGACAGAATGAACCCTCACACACCCACCACTGTATGTCATTAACTGTCAACATCTGACCAATTTTATTTTTAATTATCTCCTTTCCCCTCATTGTCTCACCTCTCAAATCTTTCTGGATCCCAGTGAGACCCAGATACACTGTTTCATCCACAACTGCTTTAGCTGGGTAGATTTTCGTTAGAGGAAGTGGGGAGAGGAGGGCTTTCCAGGCAGTGGAACAGCATTAGCAAAGGCCAGAGTGCTCTGTGCTTCATGGAAAGTGGTATGAACTATGCCCCTGCTATTTTCCAAGTCTGTCTCCTTGGCCTGTGACTACAGACAGGGGAACTCCCAGGGGAGGGGATGAAATTCTCCCTCAATGTTAGGGTTTTGGGGCCCTACCCCTGGCTCCCTCACTGAGGGTATTCAGGCTCATCACAGGTGATGCACGTCCTCTCTTCAGCCAGGGCCTGTCACTTCCGGAGAGGAGTATAGTTCTTTTTGATGCCATTCAGGCTGAATTTGGTTCAGCAAACATTCATGTGACGTGTAGGTCACTGCACTGGGCCCTGTGCTCGCACTGGCCTGTGTCTGCTGGGCAGCATCTCAGGCTTGGTCCAGGCCACTCAGGTGAGGGCTGTCTTCACGCTTTAGTTTCTGCCAAGTGGGAGGGGGGGGGCTGGAACTGTTTGCTGACTGCCCCATCCATGTCCAGTACCTAGGATTTCATCCGATTTGACAGTCCTTCATTGCTCAATGAACAACTCCTCTTCCTGCCCTTTCTGTAGAGCCTGGAAACTTGAAAACAATGAAAGTGCAAGAGCAAGGCTGCCAAGCTGCTGGAAATCATGTCAGTGCTGGAGGAGAGCGGAGTGCAGATGCAAAAGGAGGCACTGCAGGAAGAATAGGAGGCCGCAGCAGCGCTGTTCCAAGAAGCCCGGCAGGCCTGGGATGAGGCCCCCCGCCTGCACCACCACCTCGGCAGTGCCCAGGCTGTCCAGGGGGCACGGCGGAGGGGGCCGCTTAGTGCTGTGGTCCATGCTCTCCAAAGAGCTGCCCAGGACAGGCAGACACAGTGTGTGTGTGTGTGTGTGTCTGTGTGTGTGTGTGTGTGTCTGTGTGTGCTGTGAGCTGTTCCAGCTTCCTCTCTGCAGCCCAGCGCCAGGCTAAGAAGGGTTTGCCCACTGCGGAGGTGCGGGCTGATGTCTGCCCGTCTTCATGAGACCGTTTCCCTTTACTCCGCACCTGTCACCACTCCAGGCCACCCCACCCACATGTGTTCCTGATCCCTGGTTGTCAAGACAAACTCTTTCCTAAGGAAGCCCAGCCCTGGGGGGAGAAGAGGGAGAGTGTGAAGGGAGGCGGGGAGATGAGAAGGGAAAGGAGGCGAACCATTGAGCTGAGAAGAGGGTGACCCAGTCTGCCAGGTCCTTGTTCTCCCATGCCAGCCCTGCCCCTCCACGTCCCCCAGCCCATCCCCTTCCTCTTGCCCAGGCTCAGTTCTGCTCATCCAGACTCTGCCAGGAGAGCCTTCAACTCCTGTCCTTCTGAAAGATGCACATTCCCATTAATGACATGACTCAGGGACCCAGCCTGCAACCAAGGTGGGGAACCTGTGCTGACTTCCCCAAGGGCTTGTGCACCCCAGACAGTATCCTAAGCTGCTGCTCACCGGTGAAGAGGCGTGGCCCACTGGGGAGGAGGCAGGGCCCACTGGGGAAGAGGCGGGGCCCACCGGGGAGGAGGCGGGGCCTGCTGGGAGGCCCAGCTAGGAGGCTCTGGGACTCCACCAGAACTTCCTGTGCCCTCCTAGGGTCTCACTGCTGGGGCCAGAGTGCTCCTATGAGGGAGTCCCTGGCCCTGGTTAGAGAGTGCACGCTGCTGGGGACAGGCCCAGTGTGGGGCTGGCAGGCTGCTCTGTTCACACACAGAAACGCTCTACCTCTGAGCAAGGCCTGGGTTTGGATGGGACAGAAACAGTGCCTGGCTGTTCTTTCACACCTGATTCCGGTGACATCAGCCTTCGCAGATCCAATTGCATGCACTGTGCGCCCGGTACTGTGCTGGCTGCTGTCCCAGAGTGAAGTTCTTTCTCACTGGCTGCCATGTCACATCACCTGGCTCTCCCTGGCTGCTCCTCGGTCTCCTCTGCAGGTCTCCTTCTGCAGGTTTTGTCCCGACCCTGTCCTAATGCCACTGACTCACCTGTGGTCTCCACCTCAGCCCTGCTTATCCCCTGGCCCCCTATCCGGCTGCTATTGGATGCCCTGCAGGTAATGAAAATTCAGTCTCCAAAGCAGAACTGATTACCTTCCCTGAAGACTCCCCCCTTCCTGCCGTCTTCCTCATCTCAGCACAGGGCACCGACACTCGCCCAGCCCATCTCAGCACAGGGCACCGAGCACTCTGGCCTGCGCCAGGAACACCATCCTTTGCCCTGTCCCCGTTAGCCCTCCACTCAGTCCTGGGGTCTCGCTCATTCTACAGCCTCAGCATCTGCCGCGGCTTCCCAGCTAGCTTTAGTCCTACTTGGCCTTAGAGAGGAAGCTGCCGTCTCTTTCCCCGATTACTGGAACGAATGCTTGCTCGGCTCCCTGAGCCCACACTACCTGCCTTCAGGGTACTTCCCACGGTTTAGCCCTAGTGAGCCTTCTTAAAAGCAAACTTGATCTTGTAACACTCCTGCTCAAAACTCTTCAAGGGCACCCGGGGGACATCAGAACAAAGCCCAGATTCCTTAACAAGGCTAACCAGAACCCCCCAGCTCTGGCTCCTGCTGATTTCCCCAGATTCTCTGGCACCCCCTCTGCCTGTCCAGCTGGCCTGTCCTGCTTTCCATTCCCTCAGGGTCCCACTGGCTCTCACCTTTGGCTGCTCCCTTGGCTACGAACGTCACTCCTGATCTGGCTAGTTTCTCCCTAACCCTGCAGTTTCAGCTGAGATGCCTCTTCCTCTAGACAACTTTCCAGCACCTTTGACGCCTGCATCGGGTGTCACCCCGCGAGCTCCGCAGCACCCTGAACTTCTGCCTTCATTAGCGTGCTGTAATGGGACCGCTGCTCACGTGTTTGTTTCCCTTTCCATATCCTAAGTGCCATGTGGATAGTGACCACATCAGTTTAATTCACTTGGATGTCCTTGGAGCTTAGAACAGGGGCTGGTGCTTAGTAAACACTTCACCAGTTCTGTAGAACAAAAGAAGTGACTCACGAGTGAGCAACGTGTGCAACGTGGGGGGCACTGGACTGGGAGCCAGACGCCTGGATTCCCACGCCCACCCCACCTCATAGCAGCTGGACCTCAGATGCCTCCTCTCTTGGGTTAGAACGAGACACCTCTCAGGGCCGGGCTCATGCGGGAGGTTCACGGTCAAGTGCGCTTTGGTGTGGGAATCACGACCACCTCCCGGCCATGTAGGAGCCCAGGGTGGGACTGCATGTTGGAAGCAGTAACCACAGACAGTAGTGGACAAGCACTGTCCTTTCAGCAAACCAAAGAATCAGAAGGGACCACCCAGCCTCCAAGGGCCTCTGCGGCATGTTCCCTGTCACATCAGCTGGGACAGTTTCTTTGGGTCAGTGGGGTAAATGTGCCATTGGAAGGCAAGGGGCTCCTATGACATCTTTCCCAGTGTTTTTGTCTAGGGTGATGAACTTACTAGATTATTTGTAGAGTGACTATTCAGTTCTCTTCCCCATCAGAGGGGTAGAGAGAAGTCGGGGCCTATAGCTATGCCTTTGCCTT